GTGTTTCACTTTGACATATCTCTGCTTTCCTTCTGACAGAACAGGCTGCTACAGAATACCTTGTATTTCTCAAAGTTAATACCAAACTTTTGAAACAGGTAGACATCTTGAAGTGGTGGACTAACTTTTAGGGCTATTTAATTTTTTATTAGAGAATATTGTCTTTCGTAAGTGTTGGCAAATAGCCCTGTTGTATCATCAGGTGAGTGACCTGCAGAAGCTTTTATTAGCAGAACATTCAAGAAAAACTTGAAACTAAGAACATCCTTGCACTGAGAGCACAGAAATATATGTTTTGTATTTTGTAAATAAGCAACATAAATACTACGGAAGGGTCCTAATTCATAAATGAGAATTTAGTAATGGTTGTAATAACAGTTGCTTCTAATTTTTTTGTAAAGCCTGCAGTATTTATAATCAATACTCTGCCAGCACTTGCAGCAACTTTCCTTACAGTATTACAGGGTCACTAAAAATGTCATGTTAACTTAAACTCACTTATGTATAGGAGCCACAGGATATAGCACATAAAATAAGAAATCAGATGCTTTATTAACTTCCTGCAGTTATGCTTGCTTTTTTCAGAGTGGCCTTACAAGTTTGAAAAAATTCATTTTTGCCTTGCAAAATTCATTTATGTCTCCAAGCAGAATGTTGGGGAAAACCAGAAAGTAAGAGTAATTAGTATATAAGACAGTAATGCATCAGACTTAATAGCATAAAGTTAAGCAACCTTTTAACCCACTGAAGTCACTCATGTTGTTTTGAGAGTACCTGAAAGTTTACATTGCTTCCTTGATTTTTGTCAGTTACTAAAACTTTGGGCAACAAGTCAGGCTTTTCAGATTAAAATTGCTCTTCAACCAAACAGCAGACTTCCTGCATTATCACAGTGTACCTGTTCCACCTCCTCCCATCAGAAAACCCAACCTCTCCTCCAGCTTTGCTTTAAAAAGCCCAGATGACCTCCAGTGTGCTACCACATCTGCTGGACCAAAGCATTAGTCATCACAGCAGTAGTTTTGTAGATGGATGCCTCCACAGTGAAGTATAATTAGGAAAATTTAAGTGTAAAAATAGGTGCACTGTTCTTTGTTTTGAGAAGCACATATTGAAATGCTGAAGTTTGAATGTCACAGCTGGGCAGACAAAGCCTGATGTTAAAGAAGGCGCAAGCACAGTTGGATCAACAGTGTGAACAGGGCTGAAATAGTACAGTCCCAGGCCATTATTTTACCCATGGAGCATATCTCAAATTGTGTTCATTTCTCAAACTGTTATAGTAAAAAACCCTGACATACACTCTGAATCAAGCTATAAATTTTGCTAGTAAGTCCTAACTACTTGCTGCTTTTCAAGATCTAACTTAAGTCACCATTTCTACCCATCTAGTCACCTTCATGCAGTGTCTTTGCAGTGACAATACAAAGGGAAATAGATTTTTAATGTCAGTCGGGCCTGTTCAGCAGTACAGGTAAAAATATCCCTGACTTACTGTACCTGATGATCCCTGGGTGTTATGCAACAAATACACACCATCTACAACCCCAACAGACAGCTGTCCACTTAAAAACCACACCTTTTCCATTCACACTCAAACACCCCTTTCCCAAAGGAAGGCTTTTCTAGACACAGGTGGGAAGTTCACCTGTTACAGCTGATTTCATTATACACATCTTTTGCAGAAGCAGCACACAAGTCTCAAGCATGCTTCTGCAGTAACAAGGCCCTTCCACAACTGCCCCAGCTAACATTACAGCTCACCCTCTGCCAGGGTCATGCTTCCCTCTCATCTAACACTTAGTCCTGTACAGGTGTTACAGATATTCCTGGAACTCATATTATATAGGTACAAAAGGAACTAGTCCTCCACCACCATATCACACGAAGCAGTTCCACATTTTCTTCCATAGGTTTATCATAAAACTTTAATATAGTAAGAAAAGTACTAACTCTGTAGAAATTTGTATCACATTCTCTTACTCAGGAGCCCCAGTTTCCCAGAGGTGCTCAGCTACGTATTATCAAATATGTGTTTTTCCACACTGACCTTTCCTTTGGACAACTGCACTTACTGCTGGTAACTTTTAGTGTTGTTCCTTGACTACCCGCTTATCTGCAGTTAGCCCTCAAAATATAAATCTTGATTTTAAACTGAAGGCAGTTACAAAAACACATTTTTGTCCTCATTTCCATATAATAAAGATAATTGAACTGTGGCTAGTTACACTATACTCAGACTGATGTCACTTGAGAATTAGAACTATCCTTCCATGAAAGACTGCAAGCTGAACACACAGATGCCCTTGCTGGAATATGAACTCTAAATATAGCTCCTCATTTGCTGCCAAGCATTGTGTCTTGCATCTTTTCATTACTTCAGCCACCAAAGAACATAACCACATAAAAGTACACGCTGTAAGTAAATATAAAGAGTCAGTTTGTTATCACTTGTTATGACAAACTGACATATCTTGAGGTACTATTATCTACATGTCTTGTTCACAGACTTATGACACCATCCATCATCCAAGTAAGCTTGACTCCATCACACGGCAGTGATGGGAAGTGCTCCACACCACAACACAGGCTACGCGGTTTTCTATCAAGAAAATCTTACAGTAAAGATGTAAGAGAAGGTGAAAGAAAACAGTTTAAAAAAGCTACACTGCATAATCCACTTTTGGATTCTAACAGGTGGAAATTCACTTAATTCAGCTGAACAAAGCAAATAAATTTAGGACTATGGGTACTTTAAAAGGGCAAGAGACAGTTAACTGCTTTTAAAGAATTTCTTCAAGAGCTGGGAAAGGAAAACAGCAAGCTAAGGTTAACTGAATATTCACTCAATTAATGGAGCCCAGAAATTAATGCGGTAATTAAACAGCAAATGGACACTGCTACAAAGAGCAAATCCTTCCCTTTCCTATTTATCCTAACACATTAGGGTATTAACTTAGCTACACTGAATAGCAGTCTGCCAGCCAGACAGCAATTTTTTTTTTTTTCTGAATGTGTTTAATCACCCTTATTTATTCTATCAGCCTAAGTACTGCGAGGTTTGTATAAAACCAAAATGAAAAGATCTGACATAATTCTAACGTAACAGAACTGGTACACAGCTCCACTGTCTTACCTCGTTGTGGATAACTAGGAATCTAGGCTAAGGTAAAAGGAGCTTGCAAGCTTTGCAGAAACCTCTCAACTCAGACTGCTTACCCGTTAAAGCAGAGGACAGTATGGTAAGAGACCTGCTGGTGACACTGTTTTCCCTTCAACTTTGTTTATTGATGTACCGAACATGAAAAAGTACAAAGGATCCAAACACAAAAGAAAACATGTACAACCTCTTAAATACTCAACAGAATATATTTTCCAACAGATGCGAATTAATTTGTACTATACAACTTCAAATAAATACCAGCCTTATATTTTACTAAGTGCTCTGATAAACACTGTAAAGTGAAGCCCAATTTACATGCCTTCTCATCAATGCCATTACTTGCTACAGTAGTATAGGAAAGAAGCATGTAGCTACTGTTTTCCCCATATTGGAAAGTTTGTGATTTCTATAGTATATACAATTTTTAATGCAGAGGATTAGCTTTAACAATCTAAATGCACCTAAGAATGAGGAAGTGCTCAGGAAGCCAATTGATTTTTGATTAGCATTGAGTGGGTCAGCATGAAAACTCGCTTACTCACTTTAGCACGCGCTTCACAGTATATGTACTGTACTATACTGAAAAATTTATAACTACAGTTTAAAAGAATATGAACCAAAAGCAACTGCAAAGATAGTGTACAACTATGTTATGCATAGAACATTGCTTTTTCTAAGGGGAAGCATATGAGCATCTCAGTTTATACAAAAAGCAGGACGTAACTACATAGTTGTCAGTGCATCCTGGTGAAGGCATCAAACCCTCAGCTTTTTTGAAAAATTTAATTATAAGCTAGATGCTAATCAGAAAATATTCTGTATTTTTTTTCCTTAAATTTTTTCAATGCATGGTAAAGACTTTTTCTATTTCCCCAAATAGTGATTTAAGCATCATACAAAGTTAAATTTCAATAGCATACAGGTATTTATGGTTTTTGTATGAAAAATGTAAGGAAATTTGTTCAAAACCTATGATTATACTCGTTTTTTTACCACAAACATATTTATAAACAAAAATGTAGCATCACCATAAACAGCTGAAGCTAGACTATCTACAGACAAAAATAGCAACAGATCTGATGCACTGTAAATTCAAGTCCTCAGGACAACAAAAATGAATAATCAGACCTCAAGTAACAATGTTAATGCCATTTACAAAGAAAAAACTCATACAAAAACATTCAAAATTGAACATCACTTGGCATGTAACATAAACTCAAACCAAAATTAGCTGAAAGGTTTGTAACTCAAGGTCTTATTTACATTACACAAAGCTCAGGTGTTAGCTTTGAACATAACTTTCAAAATACCTCCAGAAGCACCCAATTCGGGCCACTTTTGCTGATTTGCTACAGTGCAAACCATGCTCAATGTCTTTTCTCAAAGACAAAACAATTCTTCAAACAATAGCAAGTACATCACTAAACACCATGAGCTCTATCTGAAGGGAATTCTTTAGGAAGAACAGATTTTTTTTCCCCCCCATCTCAGTATTTTAAGTTTCCTGCTTGCTCTTATACTTTTTCAAAATTTTCATTTGTTTTAAAATCACAAATTAATGTGAGCCACCTATCACTTAATAACCAGGATGATCAAAGACTCCACTGATGATTACAAAAATGAAACCAACAGTGCATCCCATTGACTCTACTTCTTAATACAAAGGTCTCAAAAGTATTTCTACATCATAAATCTTTCTAAATTTTCCCCAACAATTGCAAATTTCCTGGTAAGTTTCAAAAGCTCACTAGGTGTCATATGAAGAGATTTCTCAAAGTATTCAAGTCAAAATATTTGTTCCAGGACCAGTAAAAAGTTTCTCCAAATTTTTTTTTACAAAAATAGATGCTTTTTTAAACCCACATCAAAGAGGCTCTTATCTCTTTGGCAAGGTACTGCTTTACGAAAAGTTCTCCAGTATTCTTACAATAAGCTTTTATAATGTGTTCCCACTCCCCAACCCAAATGATAATTATAAAATAAATACTGATAACTTCATAAATAAATGTAAACTTCAAATACTTTTATTGAACAAAACAGTGATGCATTAACATGTAAATTAAACACAAGGCAAATCAAGAAATAACCAAAAACCACCTTAAAGCGTAACACAAAGCCTTAATGTTTACTCATATGTTAAAGACAGTCATGTAAAGAAAAAACTTCTTCCCTTAGCTGAAACATTTTAAAAGGTCTACCTTCTTCAAAGAAGGCAATAGAATATGCATCGTGACAGGTAAAAACCCTGTACCTCTTGTGAATATTCAAACACAGAAGATATGTAAGAAGTTTTAATTCAAATATTAGCAATAAAAAAATCTCACATATTCTTAGGATGCTAAGTCATTTTATCCCCATTTCCACACTGGCATACAACAAAGGCATTTACTAATGCATAAAGCTTCTTGTAAATTGCCTTTGTTGTATAGTTTTCATGTATTAATGCACTGAGAATAACTTGTTAGGCTTTGTGCGTTTTGTTTGTTTTGAAGGAGACCTGCAATACTCTGTCCCCAAGGCGGTATCCATTCAGGCTGGCTATTGCCATAGCTGCCTCATCGTAGTTTGTCATAGTCACAAATCCAAAACCTTTGCACTTATTGGTGTTAAAGTCACGGATGACCTTCACATTGGTTACTGCTCCGAAGGGTCCGAACATTTGCCAGAGGATACTCTCATCAGCATCAGGGGCTAAGTTGTACACAAAAATGCACCATCCAGTTCCTGGATGTCCAGGGATATTAATTCCGGCCAAACTGGTCATTCCATCAATGGTCATTGGAGGAAACCTACTGAAGAACAGGGGAAAACAAAACAGAATCATAAAGCTGTTCACAAAAAAACCCAGCAAAGACATTTCAGAATAAAAGGCAAAATGATACAAGACTTTTCACAGCATGAACACATGGGCCAGACTAATAAGATAACACTGCAAATGTTTTTTTCCCCAACTGCACAAATGCTGTGTACAATACTATACAGAAGTAGGAAGAACAGCACTAGGTCTGAAAGGAAGTAACATAGAAAAACAGAAGAAAAGCATGCTGTAAAACCAGTGACGATTAGCAAGTCATTTGAAACAGGAATTCCATGGAACTAATACAAAATAAGTTTGTCTTTCATGCACAATTCACCAAAATGAACAAATTTCAGCCAAAGTCCCAACATGCAACAATCCAACATAAGTCCTACTGGAAGACAACACAAAATATGTATTAATTTGGTTACTATGAACCTAATAGTGCTTTATTACCTCTTTACTCCATAAGCCATGTTGAGCAGATTGTCCAACCTGAAAAACATTTAGCAAAATATTCAGTCTTCAGACTTCTCCACACTTTAATCTTAAGGAAATTTGGTATATTATGGCCACATCCCTTACAGAACCTCATGCAAAAGTTGAATTACCACCACCGATAGAGCTGTGACACATTACACCTTATACAGTTAGTGAACACAAAATAGATGTTCTTGTGCAGTATTCACAACCATAAATAGTTCAGTTCAGAAAGTGCACCACTACACCTTTAGCCTGAGACAAATACTGTTAGCATCTCAGTGAAGTTTTCCAGATTACTAACTTGTTTTGAATGAAGCCACTACAGAATCTTCTGACAATCTACTGACCAAAATATGCAAAATGCAGGGTTTGAAGGCAGTTGTAAATGTTCAGACATGAACTGCAAACATTTTTTGTTTTCTTACTCTTTTCCAGAACCAAATGTTTTTAGAATCCATACATATGTTAGACTAAACTTTCTCCATGTATTTCTTCCATCACCTTCCTGCAACCTGCTAAACTGCAATATGCCACCAAAACTCTTAATACCTAGTCAATACCCGGAACATGCAGTGCCTACCAATCCCATTAATCTTATTCCTGAAGTCTCTTAAAAGTACTTCTCTAAGAAAATTCCTCCCCTAAATACGCTCTGGTTTCTTCCTTGCAAAGCCCAGACATATGAAGAGAAAGTCTTAAAGGCTCTCTTCAGTACTCCACAAAATATGAACTTAGGTTAAAAGGGTACTCTTGATTTAGTTTTTAGCTTACAGCTAACTTACAGATCTGTACCTTACTGTGATTTCTCTCCAGTAATAAGCTACAGGATTTAAACTATTACTGGTATACAGAATCCAGAGTTAAGTGCTGCAGTAGAGTAACTACATCTGTGCACAAAAAACTTGAAAATTTGTTTGGTCTTGTCTGCAGCTAAATAAAGGTCTTAAACAACAAAGCATTATGACTCTGCAGTAAGCTGGTTTTGCAGATGCACTGACAGGAAAGCAAGACACCAGATCCCTAAAAAAGCACCAACCAGGAAATTTAAAAATGCCTGACTACTATCAGCAGACTTAAGTGTGGATTAACATTTGTCATTAACATTTAGGGATAGAGAAAAGGGTGAACAGTTCTAGGAGACACCACCACTTACACATCCTTGCTGCAGAGCAGCTCACTTAATTTTTCATACACTGTAGTATTTTCATTAGTTACCTGAACAACTTAAAAAAATTCTGGAAAAATTCTCAGGGGCATTCACTAGACAATTTTTAAAGATGCTTTAATTTACACATCTTACAGAAACTGGGTAATTACATATAGCTGCTTTTGAAAGTCCAGCTCAGGATTTTTCTTAATAAGAAAAAAAATGCATTGCAGTGATTCTATTGTTCTTTACTATTGAAGTTTACAATGACTGTTTTCAGGCCTCTGTCAACTATTGATAGAAACAGAGCAATTGCATCAGGTCATCCTGAAATTGTGTTGGGTTTGTGTGTGGCAAGGTTTTTGTAGTGGGGAGGGGGTTACAGCAGTGGCCCCTGTGAGAACTTTCTCAAAGCTCCCCTGGCTCCAAGTTCAATCCACCTCTGGCCAAAGTCAAGCCAATTAGTGGTGGCGGCTGCACATCAGTGATAAAGTATTTAAGGGGAACCTGGAAAGGAAGAGTGGTTGTGAGATACCTATGTGAACACCAGGAACCATGCAAACTTCTTCAGTGGAAGAAAAAAGGAGGAAGAGGAGAGAGGTACACCGGAGCAGAGAGGTACACCAGAGCAGAGAGGTACACCAGAGCAGAGAGGTACACCAGAGCAGAGATTGCCCTGCAGCCCATGGTGAGAGGTCAGACTGTGCCCTGCACCCATGGAGGTCACCAGTGGAGCAGATGCTCACCTGTAGCCCATGGAGGGCCCTACACTGGAGCAGGGGGCTGTGAATGGAGAAGGCCAGAACCTCGAAGGAACCACGTACTGGGGTAGCCTGTGGGAGGGACCCGCGCTGGAGCGTTCTGTGAAGCGCTGCCGCCTGTGGGAAGGACTTATGTCAGAGAAGTTCACAGAGGGCTGTCTTCCATGAGAGGGACCCCACACTGGAGCAGAAAAACTGTGTGAGGAGTCCTCCCTGTGAGGAGGAAGGACTGTCAGAGAAAAAGGGTGACGAACTTACCACAACTCCCATTCCCTCCCCCCTGAAGGGTAGGAGGGACAGAAATTGGGAGCAAAGCTGAGCCCAGGAAGAAGGGAGGGGTTGGGAGAGGAAGGTGTTTTTAAGTTGGGGTTGTATTTCTCACTCTCCTACTCTGACTAGAAGATTAAGTGGTGGTGGTGGTGTTTAAATTGATGTTCTTTTTCCTCCTCTAGCAAGTCTGTCTTTGCCCTCAACCATAACTGGTGAGTCATCCCTTCTGGTCCTCAATTCCCAGGCCTTTTGTTTTATTTTCCCTCCCCATTCCTGAGGGGGAAGGAATGAGCAAGCAGCTGCATGGTGTTCAGTTGCCCTCTGAGTTCAAACCAGGACAGAAATGTATAAAAGACATGAAAGTTCTGAAGCATCAGAACTACAGTCAGCAGAGATGGAATGCTTCAACAACAGCAAAGACCTAAAAAGCCAAAAAACATGGTAACAGTTATAAAATTTAAAATTCAGCAAGGTTGTCTCTTTTAGTGAAGAAAGAGAAGACTGAAGACCTTCTCCAAAAAACTAATAAAAAAAAATCTAATATTTTTCTGCTGCTCCAGTTTACCTTTTGACCAGTCAGTTCAACCTTGTTCTTCCATCCACATCAACAGAAGTGAGCAGGATTTTACTCTCCCTCCTGTGCACTGCAGACTTGTACCTACTTAGTTTTTAAGTGGAGCAAATCGCAATGGCTCTTCTGGTCGCTTCAGGCATTACTTTACATTCGGTATCTCAGAAAAACATTTCCAGTAAAATTTAAACAGGCATTCATAGAAATACACAATCAAGTAACAACTTTAAGGTTCAAAGCCTAATGTTGCAGGACAGGGGTATGTTATTGAAATTAACTGCAAAGAACTTTTTAGGTCCTATCCAAAGAAAAAAACTCCAAGTTGGGAGAATTTTTACAAATCATAATAGATCTGGATTATATTAAATACAGATGCTACCCTAGCCAGAATAACCAATATCAAACACAGCCAAGTATCTGGGAAAAGTGCATCCTGAAAAACGCAATGAGTCAGCAGTCCAGACTTGCCAGCGTACGTTGAATGCTGTAACACACAGGCTGTACAACAACTCCCTCATGATCTTATTTCACAATACCCTTAGGTCCATCCTCCAAGTCTAATTTCTGCCCCTATGCTCTGCCTATGGAACAGTGCCAAGCCTACACACTAAGTTAACCCATTTATTCCTTAAGAAATTGTAAGAAACTCCACCAAATAATGAATTGGTTACCTCTTCCCTTAGGGTAGAAAGCCCACTCTAGTGCTGACATTTACACCTGTGAGACACTTTCAGCATGTATGGCTGAAAAGTTGAAGAAAAGAAGAATTCAGTTCTGCCACAACTGCAGTCCGTGAACTGTGAATATTAGGTCTGAGGGGGAGGGTAGCCAATGCAGAGCTTTTCAAGTTTGGTATATGCTCTTTAAAGCAAACTGTTAGAAGAGTTTATTTCTTAAAAAGTAAAATAAAAAATGTTTAAGTGTATTACTGTTTAGCCCAGGGGCAGAAGGTGGGAAGAAACGATCAAAATCACTGAAAAATCCGAGTTACTCATGAATGTAGATAATGCAGTATTTGTTTCACTTTGTTCTCACCATCTGTCCTTCTCAATACACTACATATCACAGGGCTGTAGTATGTCTGTAGTTTCAACATGATGGGAATATACAGCCACAAAAACACATGCAGAAAATATCTGAATAATATTCATTACAAAAGTTTGCAATAAGGGAAGACAAAGCATGACATGCAGGATTCAGAGAACTAACTAGGAAAAAACCTGATAGCCAGAACAGGGAGGAAAAATAGGGGGTAGGGAAGAAGAGGCTGGCTATGGCATGCCATATGGCTAAAAATTGAATTGCCTAGGTCAATGTTAACTGAATCAACCTGCACACTGATCAACAAGAATCTAAGGAATTAAATGTAACCTTTAGAAATTGATTTTTTTTTTTAGTGACTGTGTAGAAGAAAAAGATGTCATCTCAGTTTAAGTAGATTTTTTAGATACTAAAATGCTATCAATAGAATGAAATGCATTTTTGCTTCTAACTGTATTACAGGAGCATAGCTAAAGTTCAACATTTTCATGTGTCTCCCTCACACACAGAAATCACACAAGCAGGGAAGGAAAACAAACAGGCCCATGGGATGGATCATGTGGCTTCCAGCACAGTCACACACAAGTACGTACTGTACAGACTTACCTAAAACGTTGAGCCTGCTGAGCTAAAGGTGCTGGATACCTTCTGTTTGAAGAATGGTACAGCTGGGAAAGAATGGCCTGACTGGTTTTTTGGCTTGGATTGTTAGCAAACTTTACAGTGATGGGCTCTGTGGCACCTGTAGGTTTCTGGCCATTCAAGCCCTTGATAGCTTCTTCTGCTTCAATTCGCTTGTCAAATCGGATAAACCCCACACCCCTTGATACCCCTGCAGAGGGTGAAGGAAGCAAATAATTAATTCAGAGACTTTGGAATATTAGATCTTAACACTTGATTTTCACAGCCAATTGCTATGTTAATGGCCAATTGCTAGATAATTTTGAGCTTATTAGCACTGAGCTGTTGCTCAAAGAAGTATGAGTTTTCCACTGGAATTTATTATTTTTATTCTTAAATTTAACTCACATAAGATATACTGTATAGAAAGCTTGTAAGGTTGAGGAAAAACACAGCAAAGACAACTTAAACCTAGTGCATCAAAGAGTAATTCTGAAACAAAGCCATTTGGGGGGAGATGGAGGTGAACCCAGAGCCAGCTGTGCTGGAACCTCTGTTTAGCTCATGCTACTCTGCAGTATGTAAATGCACAGAAATTCTGTGAATAGATTAGTCACCTGCTCCCTAGTAGCAAGAAATGGCTTATGCTTTCCTGCAGCACCCTTTGATGTTCCCTTTGGAAAAAATATGCTGAGAGGACAAAGAATGAAGTGCAGGTTCTAAATTGCAGTAATGGAAATTACAGCCCTTTTTAACTATTACCTTTCAAGTAAAGATTCAGTTTCAGCAAACCACCATACATTTGTAGGTGTTCTTTTTGAAGAAAACTTTTCTTGGGCCACAAACTATTCCTTTGTATAGAAAAGTCACAAGGCAACACACAAGGGGATCACCAAGTGTTATGAAAGGTATTAAGAACACTGCACCTCAAAAACGTATACTGTGGCTTAAATATAAACACATTGAGGTGTCAATACTTGAGCCAATGAACATTAATCATTAACAAGAAATGCATTCTGTTCATAAACAATGATGATTTAAACCAAAGTGACAATGAGCAGGCATAAGAAAGCTTTAAAGAGGCAAATGTCACAACTTCCACTTTGCATTTTTCACCTGTCAGTCTGTGTCACAACCTTATTATTCATAACGCTTTGAGCCTACCTCTTCCAAATTACTAGGAAGGACGAAAGAAAACTTAAACCTATAAAACAGACTGTGCCAGAAAGCTACTGTGCACGTACTAGAATTATGAGTATTTAGAATTACAGTACACATTTGTAAGTTTAACCATATTTACTTATTTGGCCCATTTGTCAAAGCCCACCATTTCTATGTATGAATATACAGGAACATACTGTAAACAGCTATTTATTACACAAAGACCAGAAATCTGACCTGCAAATCTACTGCTTCTGCAAGTCACTACAGTGCCTTTACCTTTCCTTTCTCTGCCTCTCTTCAGTCTCACCAACTCACACTATTAAAACACTCCCTCAGTATTATGTGTCAATATTGAGATTTCTGTTAACATAGTGGAATTGCAAAGGAATATATATGAGGTCCTCTACAAGTCAGCTAAGTATCAAACAGTGCCATACAAAATGCTTTCAAGGTAAGACTGTTTGAACACTTTGACCTCATACAACCAAAAGCTATGTCACCCACAATGACACAACTACAAAAAAAAAAAAATCCACACTAGCCTATTATTCAGGGAATAATTATGTGAATAAATGAATTCTTCTGCCCCACACCCCTAGTTTTTTTGAAAGATGAGAATTTGGAGAGCCCTGCTCCTTTGTGTTTTGCTTTGCACACTCAATACTTCTGTCAAGTAATCAAATGAAATGCCAAGTATATATTTTGGAACAGGCCTGGTGGAAGCAGGTTAAAGCAGCAAAGTATAAAGCTCTTCAAGATCAGCCATTTGAGCCAGCAAAAGCCCATGCATTACTGTCCAAGTCTGAAGAGTAACCAGAGACGGGTTACTGGTTAAGATACATAATGTGACAAGGCAACGAGCCTGCTAGAGCTTAGTTCTTAAGGAGCTAAGCACAGACCTTATCTGCTCCCAAGGAACTCAAAGTTCATGTTCTTCAGTGGACCCAAAGTTAATGAGGCAGCCTTGAGAACAGTCTTAACAGCAATTATCAGTCTGAATCTTTTGTAATCCTAGCCTCAGAGAACCAGTTGTGCATTTTTGCATAAAATTTTATTTTTATTTTAAAAATGTTTAAAAGCATTTTATAAAGTACATAGGGACTGTTTTTGCATAGCAGCTTGGAAAGGAAGATTATAGCAACTGTAAATTTATTACAAGCCATGAAACAGGCTTCAAACCTGCACCTTCAGGGTGGAAATGACTCAAGCTGGCTCAGTACGCTCCACAATCTATTTTTGTACATGCATATTTATGAACAATTCCGGCAGAAAATTGCATTTTCTGGCCTACATACACCTTTCATACATTCTAAGCTTTCATACATTCTAGAGACAAGACAATTGTACTGAAATGCAAAATATTTCTTAAACTGCCAGTCCAAAAGTGAGAGGAAGTGTAAAACTGCCTACTTACCAGTGACTTGGTCAACCAGAATACGAGAGGTAATAATGCGTCCATACTGGGAAAAGAGCTGTTCTAGTTCTTTCTGGGTCATTGTTTTTGAAAGTCCACTAACATACAAATTTGCATCTCTGATAGAAGCCGAACTTGGTCGCGCATAGGAAACCTTAGGAAATACAAAATAAAAAAACCCTAGAAATAAGACACTTTAAGTTGAAATAGGACAGCATCATTTGTTCTGAGACACTGAAATGTTTTTAAGGGCAGCCAGAAAAGTTAATCTTGCAATGGTAGTTATCTTTTTGGGTGCTGGCTTCTGTGAAAACACTGAAGGAATGAAACATAGACCATGCAGAAGGTGACTACATGACCTCATATATAAATTAAGGAATACTTTCACATAAAGTAGAGAAGCTAGGTACACACTCCAGCAAGCCCCAGTGGAGAAAAACTGTTTTCAGTCAGCTTACTGTAAGACTAAAAAGACAAATTTAAGAAGATCCAAGAATGTTTTATTATCCCTGAAAAATACAAGGAATAAAGATTTCAGTTTCAGATCTAGGTCAAAAACACAGAGAGACAGTCCAGAGCACTTAAGAGGTTTGCAAGTGTTTTTCAAGTGCTGTGCCCTTTGTACATGTGTTGAGCTTGGTATCAAATGACACACAGTCATTCACGAGCTGAAGATAAACTCTGCTATGCCACTTTTATAGGCCTAAGAAGGAATGGCAGAAGTAGGAATGTAACTTGGATTTTGGCTGTTCAGCAGCTCACCAATTCCTGCAACACAGGTGTCTTAGAACCAGATGCCAAATAACAGCGAGCTCCTCAGGCCCTTTTGGACAGAAGTTTTTGTTTGCTGCCTCAAAGTATCAGTCAAATATTTTACTAAGATTATGAATTAGATTCTTCAACCCTTTAGACACACGCTGCAAAATCAGCATGTTCAAGAGTTCAGTACTTCCCATGGAAGTTTGTACAAGTGGTTTATGCTTATTACAAGAAAGATTACAACAGGACATCTATGCCTGTGGAACAGGACAGAACACTATCTGGGGTTCTAACTGTACAAAACGTGACGGTAAAAAGGACCCTCAAGAAGTGGTCAGATTTATTCCCTTTCCTTCCCTCCCTGAAATGCAGGATCAGCCAGCTCTGGGCAGCTGGAACTAAACTCTTTAAATGTATCGTTTGCCTAATCCCTTGATATTTCTTTTCAAATCCTCCCATCTCACTTCCACACAGATCAGCACACTCAAGACTCCTGTGGAAGTAAAACAAAAAAGGCAATTGAGACAGAACACACCAGAGCCTGAACAAACAGTACCCTTGAACACTGCTGTGGTGATTCAACCTTCTACCCAGAGGCTTTGTGCAAGGTATCTTCCAAAAGTTGCTGAACAGGGCTGACCTACAAAACTCTGAGCTGTCCAAGATAGCACACTATCCAACACCCAGCACTGTTGAGCCATAATGCAAGAGCCACACAAGAACTGGAGACCTGTGTTCAAAGTCCCCGTCTTCTCATCTCTCACAAAGGCAGCTAGGACTAAGCCTCAGTCTTTTCTCCTAATTCACCTTTTTTGTGAAGATGTGCAAATTTAATCATAATAGAAAAGCTGCCAGTGTCCAGTTTTATGGCAGGAATGACAGAATTTCCCCATTTCCATGTAGTTTGTTTCAAACCCGGTAAAACTGAACTGCAGAACAGTTTATTTTCCACTAGATCTGAGCCCACTGAGTCCTCCTTCTACATACCCCCTTGCTTTTTTATATTATTAGAAAAAAAACAGTAGGGAAATGTCTACAGACAAGCTCATGAAAATTACCACCAAAGTGCCAGATAGAAAGCCACACACCCTTAAGCAAAAATGGATTCAGTGTCTAAGTGTAAAAAAGCAGTCAACCTAAAAAAGACCCAAATACTAAAAAAAAATATTCCTGACATCTGGTCATGGCAGGAACCTGCTATATAACTCTGTACAAACCTCTACACCTCAGCTTCTGATGTCACAGGGACCTCTTCTATAATCCAGTCACACACACTGACAATGGGTATTTTCCAATTAAGTTACTAGTGTCTTATTTTTCCCCTTTAAAAATGTCTGATATCTTTTGCAATTTTGTCAAGATACAGTGTGAACAGAAAGTGTAGTAGTCAATTTTTTTAGACTACCTTGGAATCAATAGATTTTCTATTTTGACTCAATTCTTGCCATTTAAGAAAATCAGCATAGGATTATTCCTAGAAGACATTATCAACTACTAGCTAGTCAGACTCACACAGCAAGAGGGTTCAGGACTTAAGTGCTTATAACCCTTCTACAGGAAGCCTCTAGATTCAATACTCAATTCTAAATCTCATGAGCAACAGTAGCTCTTTCAGAGGAAGAAAGGAGAGACACTACTGTAACCATTTTGCTGTTTAACTACCATCCCCTTTCCTGAAACAAGTATTTGCAAAGTCAATGACAATGAGTGCCAGTCAAACTACAGAAATCAAGATACAGGGAAAGCAGTGTCTTGCAAGTCATAAAAAAATAAGAGGAATCTGACTTCAGCTACCAGCTGTATGGTAAATTCTGACACAGCTGGGTCAAGTGACTGATTTTGCCAGTTCCGTGCTGAAGGGTTTAACACCAGAGCTTTGTAAAAATAGGGTTCTTTTTCTTGAAATGGTAAATGTGCTACCAGTCTATGGCTGTGCAGCCAAGACCAATACTTGCAAGCTGTGTTTGAAACCAATACTTTATTCTGTATATTCAACCCTCACACTACATACACTTCAATTTTGAAAGAACTGTTTCTAGATCTTGAGTCATTTTCCTACTTTTCTACAGTCAAAAGTATACACCTATGATATTCCCAGGTGCAGAGGAGTCAGAGGTAAGCTGCACCAGAGACAGGAAAACAGAGAATAAAGCTTGCCTGCATTCAGCTAAAAGACATAGCAAGGACAGTGATGGCTACCCAAGAGGTAGAAAAATAAAACAGCTAAGGAATGAAGGAACTTACTCTACTTGCCTACTTGGCTATGAGGTTCAAGGAAAAAAGCTCCATGCCACACGGGGCAGGAGATATAAGCTGTTAGACACAAGTTTTTCTTGCTGTATGCATTTGGTCAGGTCCTCTGGAGAGAAGTCAGAACTCCTGAAAGTGACCATCATCTAAGCAAGAAAAATAGTGACTTATCTTTATATTTAATAAGAATGCTATGCAATTGGTGGTCAAACATTTCACTACTAAGAAACTAAAAAAAAACAAACCCGTAGTTTGCTGAAGATTAAGGGGATATTGTGGACTTTATATTAGTTTTGCACTCAGATAAACACCTGTTACTACTAAGCTGTTTTCTAAGCATGCACACTTGCAAGCACTCATAACAGATGTTGCAGAGTGTAAACCTCAAACTCCTTTCAAGCAGGACAAGAGAAGTGTGTCTGAATAGACGATACCATAGGCTTGCCAAAGCCCCTAAGCTGTACTTTATGGTGCTACTGTTTTCTCAGTCTACAAACTACCTAGGCTTTGCTCTAAAATTCGTTCTATAGATTTTGATAGATTAAATAGCTAGATTTTCTAAGCAATCTAATGAAGTAATTGGACTTTTTATCCAGCTGCTCCCTGCTGTCAAAGTTGTTCTGATTCAACACATTAGACAGAATAAAACTGAGGAAGTACAACGTGACCAGAAATAAGGAAGGAGTTCTTTATGAAGAGAGAAAAACACACAAAAAAAGCAAAGAAACACCTCAAGTGTCCTGTGAGGCAACACAATACCTAGAACTTCTTTCCCTCCTGGTCAGTGATGCTAAGATAGGCTAGAAGCAAGTAACTAATTCACAAGGTCTGCCGGATCTGCAGTTCAAGTTCAGCAGTACTAAAAATGAACTTACCCATACATTGTTCTGATGGACCTCCCTGGTGATTACCACAGCCCAGCAGCACAGGCATGCATACCACAGTTCTTATAAAGCAAGCTGCTGGAACAGCTTTATAGGTCTGGGAACCATGTTGATGTCCCTGCTCACCAACTACCAGTGACTAAAGGATCACCTCCAAGCCAAAGTTCCATCCTAGCAAGCAGGACGTGAAGCAAAGGTGTCTGGGAGTCTGCCTGGACAAACAAGGGATTAAACTCCAACGTAAAAATGCTGTGTACAGGATGTGAAAGTAGGACTATATAAATGGTGTCCAATAATGCACAGATGAGGTTAAGAAAGCTAAAGCCCACCTGAATTTGCATTTGGCAAGAGGTCTGAAGGGAAAAAAAAAAAAGGACCTGTACAGAACAAGACAGTAGAAAGTCTGGGACTAGCAATATTTACTGTCAGTGGAGGAGGATCACACTGAGAAATCTTTAAACTGCACAGACCATGTCCCTTGAAAGGCTGCACATGCAAGAGCTGAGGGAACTAATGGATGTCATTGCAAAGCAACTCCTGGCTGGCTTTGAAAGTTCAAGGGGAACAGGGGAGGTTTCTGAGGAGTGAAAAGAAGTATCACCCATTTTCAAGAGCAACAAGAAACTTGCTCTCTGGGCAACTACAGGCCAGTCTATCTCAACTCAACCCCTAGGAAAGTGATTGAGGAATGAATCATGAAAATCTCCTCCAGTCACATGAATCACAAGGTGACTGCAAGTAGTTAACATGAATTTATACAGGGGAAATCATGTCTGACCAACCTAATAGTCTTCTACAATGACATGACTGCCTTGGTGGACAAAGAGAGAACAGTGGATGTTGTTTGTCCCAACGTTAGTAAGACTGGAGACTCTCTCCCACAATATCCCTCATGAAGTGCACATTAAGTGCACCTACTACATCAGTATCAAGTACATACTAGTTAAGTGGGACAGTGACAGACTGAAAACTGGCAGAACTGCCAGGCTCTATGGGTTGCAAACAGTGGCATGAAATCCAGTTGGACGCTAATCACTGGCCTCCAATACTGGATCCAATATTGGTTAACATCTTCACTAATGACCTGGATGATGGGCAGAGTGCACCCTTAGAAACTTCACAGATGATACAAAACTCAGAAAAATGGCTGATAGGTCAGAGGGTTGTGCTACTATCCAGAGAGACCTCAAAAGACTGTAGAATTCAGTAAACTGGAATCTCAAAGGAGGTCAAAGAAAAGCAGTCCTCCCTCTGGGAAGGA